GTTCCCGGGGGAGGGGGGGGGGGGGGAGAAAAGGAGGTCACCACTGTTCCCAGAGGAGGAAGGGAAAGGGAATCCTCAGTTCCCAGTGGAGGAACGGAGCCTCCATTCTCAGTATGGGAGGGGCAGGGTCTCCCTTGTTCCACACGAGGCAGCAGGGGTCTTCAGGGTGCTGACACACCCTGTGCTCACTATGTGGGGCCCAGGGCAGTAGCTCTGTGCCTGGCCCCGAGTAGATCAAAACCTGGACATTCTCCCCTCTCCTGCCCCGCCCCACCACTAGCCATAGCACCGGGGGTCACCAGCTGCCCCTAGCCCCCATGTTGCCTAAGAAAAGCTGGGGGGGGAGGTGGCCTTGCTTCTCCCTCCAGTCCTGGGCCCCAGGAAGCCTGGAGATTTGGTGGGTCCTGCCTTGGTTAGCTGCAATGCAGGCCTGGTCCTATGGGTGCTGACCAGGCACTGTAGCTATCCTGTAGCACCCACCACACCCAGCCTAGCCATAGACTCTACTCGCCCCCTCTGGGGTGCAGCTGGGGCGATGCCCAGGATGGAGTGTGAGGAGCGCAGGAGCAGGGCCCCCTTAGGACAGGGTGAGGGTGGCTCAGAGGTGTCCACTCAGCATGGGGCTGCTCAGCAGCAAACCTTGTGGGGCTGGAGTCCACTTGGCCCACATCGATGGGCAGCTACATCTGGCTGGCTCTGAATTCCTGCAAACGGGGTAGGCGGCCTTGGAGAAGACCTCTCCCTGGGCTGCCTCCACCCTGGCCGCCTGCATGAGGCCCCAGGGGGCACTGTGCATCCTGGGGCCCCTGGCCCCTTCATGGCTTTGTGAGGGTGGCACCAGGACCCTGCCGTGCCATCACCATGGCTATATGCAGAGGAGGCTCCGCTTTCCCAGGCAGGAGCTCGGCATGTAGATGCAGCTGCGGCCGGGGCACCCCACATCCCCCGAAACCAGGTACATAGAACGTGCAAAATACCAGCAGCCCAACTGGGCTGGGGCAGGAGCGAGCAAACCGAGGGTAATCCGGGCTGTGCTGGAAGAGGGGAGCACGGGGGAGGGGGCTGTGGGAAGGGGGCAGGGGAGCTGCTCAGGGGCTGGGGTCCTTTTTCCGTTTCTGGAAGCGGCGGAACTTGCCCTGGATGGCAAGCGCAGCCTTCTCGGTCTCAGGCGCGTTCAGATCAATGTCGATCTCCTCCTCCTCCTCCACCTTCTTGGTGTTCCCGGCTTTGGCTGCAGGGAGAACTGCCTGGTCACCCCCGCTGCTCCCCACTATGGGGGGCATTCAACTCAGGGCAGCAAGGGGGCGCTGTCCTGCAACTCCTGCCAGCATCCTGCTGCCCACCCTCAGGGTCCCCCCCAAATCTCTGGCTGCAATAGGCCATCCCCCACCTGAATACCCACAGGCCTTGCCTCCTCTCTGAGTCCTTGCACTTGCTAAATCAATGCTGATGAGTGCCAAGTTAGGCACAATTGGAAAAATATCCCCAGGTAGCCACACACTGGTGGGGGCTACCATAGCTGTTTCCACCCACCACAGAGGTCTCAGAGTGCCCAGGTCCTTGAAAACACTCACTCCACATACAGCACCACTCCGGCAGTAATGGTCTGCTAGGAGCTACCACAGGCAGGCTGCTCCCAGCCTAGTAGAGAGTCAGCAGGACAAGGGGATATTTTTTCTTGCACCCACTTCTCTTGGCCCAGAAAATATCCTCATGCAGAAATCCAGGTTGCCCCCTCCCCCTGAATCCAGTTCCAGTCACCCCATCTCAGTAAGGGGAACTGGGAAAAGTTCAGAGAAGGGCAGCAAAGGTGCCCAAGGGTCTAGAATGGCTTGCATCCAAGGAGAGACTACAAAGACTAGGGCTGCTCATCTTAGTGAAGAAAAGGCTAACGGGGGACCAGACAGAGGCCTGTAAAAGCATGACCGGTGTCTAAGGAAGTGTTATTTTACACCTCCTCACACAGTAGAAAAACCAGAGGCCACCTGATGAAATGAAGAGGCAGAAGACTGACTACAAGGAAGAGGAACAACGCATAACTAGCCTGTGGAACACCTTGCTGGGGGCTGTTGATATGGTCAAAAGTGCAGCTGGACTTTAAAAAGAACTAGGTAAGTTCTTGGAGGATGGGTCCATCAGTGGCTATAAGCCAAGACAGGAAGGGATGTAGCCCTGTGGTAGGGACTTGGTTTGGTTACCCTTGAGTGCCAGAAGGGGAAGATGGTGTTGCTCACTCAATTGCCTCATTCCATTGTCATGAATAGGGGCTGCAAGGGAGATTGACTTACCTGGAGGGCAAGGAAAGGGTTGGTCCTGCTTTGGGCAGGGGCTGGACATGTTTATCTCCTGAGGTCTCTTCTGTGTCTACACTAGCATGAATTTCCGGAAATGCTTAAAACAGAATAGTTTTCGTTATAAGTATTTCCGGAAAAAGCGTCTACATTGGCAGGCTGCTTTTCCGGAAAAGCATCTGTGGCCAATGTAGATGCGCTTTTCTGGAAGAGCCCCGATCATCATTTTCGCGATCGGGGCTTTTTTCCGGAAAAGACTACTTGGCTGTCTACACTGGCCCTTTTCCGGAACAGTGTTCCAGAATAAGGACTTATGCCCGAGCGGGAGCAGCGAAGCTTTTCCGGAATAGCAGCTGATTTTGTACAGTAGAGCGTCAAGGGCCAGTGTAGACAGCTCGCAGCTTAATCCGGAAAAGCGGCTGATTTTCCGGAATAAGTGGCCCAGTGTAGACACAGCCAAGGATTCTATGATTCGAGGCTTTGCACCTGAGGGAGGGGGCTTTGGACATTCAGCCAATGAAGTGCAGATAAGGAATTTTAAACGAGAGGGATTTTTTTCCCCTTTGTTTTGGAGTCAAGTAGAAGGGTTTTCCTGGTAAGTAGGGAGCAAGAGAGATGAACTCTCCCAGGAACAGACTCCTTAATTCATTAAAATGTGTGAGTCAAAGTTTAAATGAAACCTGATGGGCTATTGTTTTCCTTTTTGGGGATTTGGAAATCATGTCTGAGCTACTTAATTGTTTTTCTCTTTTGTAACTAAGGATTACAGCCCAGGGAGAATCCCTGAGTCTATTTTAATCCATGGCTTTTAACACTTAGTCATTTACTATGCTTGCCCTGCCTTGGGCTCCCCCGTCACTGCAGCTCCCTCTGCACTGGTAATGCTGCACTGGGAGCCAGTGCACAGGTGGCAGCAGCCTGGCTGGCTTAGACATAACAGCGGAAAGACTGGCTGATCCCTGGCCCACTGCTGCATCCTGGGGAGCTGTTCTCTCTCGGCCCCTGGCCACAGGCTGGGGAAGCCAGAGGCAGCTCTGTCTCCTCCAGGGGAGCCAGAGTCCGTGCAGAACTACAGTGGGAATTAGCTTCCTCTTTCAAGCCAGCTGTACCCCCAACCCATTGGAGGAGAGTCCTGGGGTGTTTTTTTTGGGGGGGGGGGTGAGTCCCTCTTTCTGGTATATTGGATCTCATGAGCCCTGTCCCTGGAAACACCGCACAGTGCAGGGCTTGAGAGACAGGAGCAGCCAGAGGAGCCAAAAGCCCCTCTGGGGTCTGGTGCAGTTGGTTGCACGTGTCATTGGGTGGACACTTCACATCCTCTGGCCATGCTGTAGCACTGAGTTGTGCCAAGGGACGCAGGGCAGGGCAACTCCCACGAGGACAGGTCCAAGCACAGCTCCCAAGTTGCCATTCTGGGAATTGCCATAGTCTTGGAGACAGTGTTTGACAGAGCCTTGCGCTGGGGGAAGCCACCAGCTTGTGACATCCAATTATGGGGCTCTGTGCCATGGCAGCATCCTACCAGGAAGCCCTGCACTTTGCAAGGAAGGGATCACCTCATCCCAAAGGTAATCTGCTGCCCAGCGCTTCCCAGCCCCCAGAAAACTACAGGGCTGAGGAGGTTTAGAGGCCTGACCTTGGACAGCTGCTCCCCTGTAACAAAGCCAGTTGCGTCCCCATCTGGGTATGCTGGGAAAATCCCCTCCCATGGACACGCTGGCATAGAGCAGCCAAGATGATGCCCAGCCAGGATGCCACCAACATGGACTCAGGAACAGGTGAGGGCTCATAACCAGCAACAGATGGGAGTTCTTCCTACATCATCCTCCCTCCCGCCCGGGCGCTGGGCACAGCCACCAGCACAATGCCAGCCCTCTGTGAGCCACAGCAGTGCCAGCCTCTTCACTCACCTTTCTCCTGACTGCCGGGAGCCTGGCTGGGGGCCGGGGACTCACTGGAGCTGAGCTGCAAGAGGGGAGAAAGGGTCTGTTAGCCCATGCTGTGCGCAGCGGAGCTTTCCAGCTCCATGGTGCTA